CATATTCAGTTTGCTTTTTAAAAAATCTAGACTTTTTTTTACATAACTACAGTGCCATCGTCACATTCATCAAAAGTAAAATTAATTTTTTGGTGTTACCTAGTACCTGTTTCATATTCAGATTTTCCCAATTGTTTCAAAAATGTCATCTCCATTTGTTTTTCGTGCATTAGAATCCTTACATAATATTTGCATTAGTCTCTTAATAGACTAATTGCTAATTTGCATGTTTAAAGCTCATCAGTACATTTTATCAGATGGCAAATGAGTTTTGTTCATATTCATAGTTCTGAATACTACTCTTAAAGCCAAATAACTGCTTTATTTCTCATCTACCACAGTGAACTGCTCCCTTCTAACTCTTAAGACGTGTGATTTACATCTCTTCTTCTGTTTCAGGAACTCCACTTCCTGGATTTCTGCATCGTCAGTGACCCACTTCCACATGAAGCCATTACAAGGCTATAAAAACACTGTATTATTAGTTCTTGGTAGTGATTGGTTATCATGAAATGGTTGTGTCTTTGCCAAAGATGACTCAGAGGGTTTTGCACCTTTTATGTTGTGTTTAGTTTGTGTGTGTGAGTTGAAAACATGCCGGTTTTGATCCACTAATTGATTTTACCACCCATTACATGAGTCCCAACCTGTGGTCTGAAAAACACTAGTTTATTGGATAATTTTGTACAAAGGAAGTAGAAATTAATTATTTTCAGTATTTCTTTTAGCTAGGTCTATAAGTTTTATATCTTTCTCTTTTTTTTAGATCATTTTTGAAAATTTAGAGGACTATAAAAATTTTACCTGTAAATATATATAAATACGCATATGTTGGACCAGAAAAAACTAAAAATATTTTTTATTTTATGTAGGTACGTCGTCATGAAATACACAAATCAAAGAATAGAGCATTAGTACACTGGGAACTCCAAGAAAAAGCTTTGAAGAGAAAATGGAGGAAGCAGAAATCAGAAGCTTTGAATCTTGAGAAAAGAAGATTGTCTATCATGAAGGAGGTAATGCAAAATTGCATTGTCTTTAGAGTTAGAAAGAGAAGAAGCAATAAATACAGTTCTTTTTCTCAATTTGATTCGGAGAGACTAGTAATTACTGCATCCTTATACAATGATCTCTATGTGGACTTCAAAAAAAGCAGCAAAGTGACGATTAGAGTCTAGTTTGTGGGAGGTTTGAATTTCTGCTCCACAACTTACTGTCTGATCATAAACAAATTATTGAACTTCTCAGCCTGAATTTTCTCATCTTTAAAATGGGATTAACACTACTTGCCTGATTGTATTGTTATGAGATTTCAATGATATAATACTTATAAAGTGATTAGCGTAGTCCTTGGCACATAATTAGTGCCTTATGTATATAAGCTGCTATAATTATTTTTCTTAGTTCAACAGCAGTGTTGTCAGTTTACTTTGCCAAAAAAAAAATAATGCTGTATGCTTGTTCGACTAGGTAGTAAGCAACTTGTCTTTGGCTTAACTTTTTCCCAGATGTAGGGTGTTTGGATATGTAATTACATATGTAGGGATAAATAGTATGGTAAATAAGAGGAAACTATAGCAAAATATCCTTTTTTTATTTGAACTGAAATCATTATAAAGGAAAGTGCTTTGCCTGTAGTGTTGCTCCTTATTCATGTTGAAGCTTATAGCACTTGGCTGTCTGGGTGACCTTTCATGGTGGCTTTAAATCACACTGTATCTTTTGAGGAATTCACTAAGCTTGTTAGTGGAATAAGTAAGTCTTAATCTTATACATCATCAGGAAGAATTACATCTCTTAAATAAATGTTTAGATGAGCTTGAGAAAAGAAAAGTGGATTGAGAGAGAATGCTTTTGTACACATAAGTATCTTTTGGTGATCTTGGACAAGTTATGTACATTTAAATGTTATGCAGTAATTCTCAGTGAAAGGCCTAAAAACACAGATCTGTCCAGGAAAAAAGGCAGCCCCTATGGGGTGCGTCAGACTCTGAGCTTTTGTTCTTACTGTCTTGTGGCTCCTGCTCATGTCCTGAATTTCTCATGCTAGTAGATATGGTAGTGGTAGGTGTTGAAAGAAGAGTGGCGGGAGAGGATAATTGAAGTTTCTCTGCCTTCTTTTTGTAATGCCACTTTCTCAGGCTGTATTGTAGCGGTCCTCAACCCTGACTGTGCATTAGAATCAGTCAGGCTTGAGAAGCTCTATTAAAAAAATAAAACTATATCTGGACCCTATGCCCAGAGATTCTGATTTAGTTGACCTGGTGTGTGGTGCCTTTATTAAAAAAACTATATCTGGACCCTATGCCCAGAGATTCTGATTTAGTTGACCTGGTGTGTGGTGCCTATTAGGTGTTTTTAAACAATTCCTATGTAATTTTAACATGCTGCAGGGGTGGAGAACCTCTGCTCTTAGAGGGATACACCTTCAACAATGTATTTCGGAGGTTATTCTATGTCAGTACTTGGAAATCTACCTTTTCTTTTTAGTAGCTAGGTAGTGTATAGATACACCACAGTTTACTTATCCAGTGCTTTATTGGTGGATGCTTAGGTTGTGTATTAGAGTACAGTGTGAGCTTCTGGGGAAAAAAAAGACCCCAAAATATAGTGGTTTAAACAAAAGAGAAATTTATTTCTCTCTCATGAAACAGTTGATAGGTATGTGATAGCTGGTAGGGGGCTACTAAGCTTGTTAGTGGAATAAGTAAGTCTTAATCTTATACATCATCAGGAAGAATTACATCTCTTAAATAAATGTTTAGATGAGCTTGAGAAAAGAAAAGTGGATTGAGAGAGAATGCTTTTGTACACATAAGTATCTTTTGGTGATCTTGGACAAGTTATGTACATTTAAATGTTATGCAGTAATTCTCAGTGAAAGGCCTAAAAACACAGATCTGTCCAGGAAAAAAGGCAGCCCCTATGGGGTGCGTCAGACTCTGAGCTTTTGTTCTTACTGTCTTGTGGCTCCTGCTCATGTCCTGAATTTCTCATGCTAGTAGATATGGTAGTGGTAGGTGTTGAAAGAAGAGTGGCGGGAGAGGATAATTGAAGTTTCTCTGCCTTCTTTTTGTAATGCCACTTTCTCAGGCTGTATTGTAGCGGTCCTCAACCCTGACTGTGCATTAGAATCAGTCAGGCTTGAGAAGCTTTATTAAAAAAACTATATCTGGACCCTATGCCCAGAGATTCTGATTTAGTTGACCTGGTGTGTGGTGCCTATTAGGTGTTTTTAAACAATTCCTATGTAATTTTAACATGCTGCAGGGGTGGAGAACCTCTGCTCTTAGAGGGATACACCTTCAACAATGTATTTCGGAGGTTATTCTACGTCAGTACTTGGAAATCTACCTTTTCTTTTTAGTAGCTAGGTAGTGTATAGATACACCACAGTTTACTTATCCAGTGCTTTATTGGTGGATGCTTAGGTTGTGTATTAGAGTACAGTGTGAGCTTCTGGGGAAAAAAAAGACCCCAAAATATAGTGGTTTAAACAAAAGAGAAATTTATTTCTCTCTCATGAAACAGTTGATAGGTATGTGATAGCTGGTAGGGGGCTTTGCAGTCCTTCATGACATGGCTTCTGTCTCTGAGTACAGAACGGCTGTTGCAGCTTCCTTCAGTGTATAGCAGCCAGCAGAAGTGGGAAAGAGCACATGCTGCTCCTGTTACGTACAATCTGAAGTTCTGGCATATATCTTGCTGGCCAGAAAGTCATCATATGGCCATTCCAATCACTTGCACAGATGCTTGGGAAATCTAACTATGTTCTTGGCTAAAACTATGTTCTGCTATTAAAGGGGAAATGGGAAGAAAGAATATTGGTGGACAACTATCAGTGTCTGCCACCCACAGATTGTTTTCTACCTTGCCATTATAAATAATGTAACGAGTATCCTTGAGTATGTTTTTGAGTCTGTGTTTAAGTATGTTTATGGATAAATTCTTAAAAGTAGAGTTGCTGAGGCAAAGGATACATACATGTTTTATTTCAATGTTGCTAAATATGTAATGTCTATGTTTAGGGATGTGATGGGACCAAAGGAAGAAGCTTCTTTAGGCTATCCTCATAGGCTTAATTATTATGTATTAAAGCTACCAGGACCCATTTCCCTAAGGCTGGACTCCTAGATTAACATAAATTAAGAGAACAGCTCTTTGGCTAGCCTAATCTTAGATTTCATTTACTGTATGATATACCCATGCCACGGGAATCAAGCAAATTAGGGTCCAAATCCAACTCAGAGAAGGGGAGGCATTCATAAAGATTTCATAAATTCCAAAAGTGTAATAACTCCCCAAGTCTCTTTGTAACTTCCCAGTTTCATCTGGTTTCTATTGCCATGGAACAAAAGGGCTAGGGTGAGGAGTTTTTGATATTATTTTTGGAGGGACCTTGACTGATCCTTTGAAAATCCAAGATGTGCACTACCGCTTATAAGTTTAAGTTTATGCACTGCAAACCTATCTGGGGAGGTAAGATATAGAGATGGTCTTGCTGAGATCAGTGTATCAAGATGATGGGTTTTAAGAGAGGAGTAATAAATCTAGAAAGCAAAGTAAAGCCAATGTAGTGATCTTTTGCCACTCAAACCATCTGTCCCAAGGAGCCTGGGCAGAGACTAGCAGAAAGTGGCAGGGCAGTGACTTTACTTGAGACCTCATTATAATTAATATCAGGTGTCAATATGATTAGTAAGATTATTCCTCCACAATCTGTTTCTGTCAAATTCATCTCCGTCTTTTGATAAAAGGTCAATGCTTTTTAAAAAATAAAATAGTAAACTCTTAATGCTGCCATTAGGAAATAAGTTTTGTGTAATTTTTCTGGTATAATAATAGATTATACTGATTTATTCACATTCTTTCCTAAGCTTAAATTGCATGTGCGTGCAATATAGATAACCAGGTATAGAAATTTTGTTCATGGGATAATATAGTTTAAGTTGTAATAACATTCTCAAACATCTCTAGAGTGTTATACAGGTTTTCAATGTGTCCACATCCTTATGACACTCCTGAGGGATTGGAGAGGTGGTTGTGTCTCTGTTTATACATAGGAAACGAAGTTTAAAGAGGTTGGGTTTTGTTTAGTATCCCTTGACTGGGCCTAGAACCCCAGTCTTCTGGCTCCAAATGTACTTCTGACCTTATACCATTCCAAAGCTTACTCTTTGTGGAAGGAACAAATTCAGTACTTTATTCTCACCAACTGAGCCAACCAACTTGTTTGGCTATAGCAGGGATAGAAGGGGAAAAAGTAAGAATGTGACTGTTGTTATTTTTTTCTTTGTGTCCTGAAACCATAATTGAGGTCACAATATATACTTGTTCCCATGGTATAGAGAAATTCTGGTAAGAGCATTTGTTACCAGATATTTTATTGATTTGAGTAAGTGATGGAAACTGGGCAGTTTTCAATTTGAGACTCCTTTGAACTTAAGAATGCCATCTGGTGGTGGTAGATAGAGTTGACTTGCTTTTACTCTGGTCTGCTTGCTTTTACTCCAGCCTGTGGCCTTGCTTGTAATTATGAAAGTCCTAAGTTGAAAGTGCATAATCAGAAACGTTATTATAGTGGTATTTTTTTGAGTTCCCACCTCTCCAAGATTAAAAAAAAAACAACTTGTCTATAAATACAGAAGCATCACAGTTTTTCTTTAACCCTAAAACTTATATCTTACGTCATATTTTTTAAGTTGTGGCTCATGACTCATTAGTGGATTATGAAATCACTTTAGTTTGAAACACCTCTGAGTTTATGGCTCAATTTTAATCTGTCTTTTTCAAACTGCGGATTATAATTTGTTAATGGATTGTGAAATCAAGTTAGTGGGTTGTTAACTATCATTTAAAAAATAGAGTAGAAATTAAAAAGAAAATATAGTGGTTCTCATGGGGCAAGGTTAAGTAAAGCTTTTATTTTGTTTTACATACATATTTGTGTATGTATACTACATCACAATTTAATATGTATTCTTTACTTTGGATTGCAGCCAAGCATTTGAAAGCCACTCATTATTGTAATAGCCCCATCTACTGGTACTTAAGGATATTGCCACTGCAGGATTTTAGGAAGGTGTGGCCTATGGTTATTTTTATGCTCTGCCTTTGTACGGTCTTTTCCTTTGTGACTTAAAAAGTTAATTTTTTTTTTTTATGAATAATAACATTTGTCATCAACATGTGTCTAGATTCTTTCTGATCAATACCAGATGCAGGATGTATTGCAGAAGTCTGATCATTTGATGGCTTCAGCAAAAGATCTGTTTGTTGATATTCCTCGAAGGCGCACAGGTAAGGTGTTCTATTCAAGCAAAAGCTTCTTTTCCTTATTAACTATAGCCCACAACTGACTATTTGGAAGAATTTAAAGTCCTTTCTCAGATATCAGATTATTTATATTATAAGTATTCTAGGATGGGTAGCATACAAGGGGTTGTTATGGTTATAATCATAATTTATTTGCTTTTCCCTAAGAATATTAACTATTACAAATTATTCATCTAAGGAAAGGTAAATTATTATTATATGCTAAAATATTTTATGATGTAAAGTACAGGATTTTGTAATTTTAAAATGTGACTTAATCTTCAGCTTATTACTGTTAAGTTACCATATAATTAAAATACTTGTATTTGTATGTAACTAGACTAAAACTTAATTTGCAACCTAAAGCAACTTCAGTCTCTTTTTAAAAGGAACTTTGCCTCTTATCAGATATACAGCATTATTAGTTTTTATGTATATGTACTTCATTATTTATCTTAATTTCTCAAAAACAAATCATTAGTTTTTAATTTAAGATTTGAATCCTGGCTCATCCATTTATTAGTGTGACTCTGGGATAGCTGCTTAACATCTTTGAGTTTCAGTTTATTGATCTGTAAAATAATACTACACAAAAACCCACAGGGTTTTGTCAGGGTAAAATGAGTTCATATGTGTAAAAGCATTTAGAACAGTGCCTGGCATATGGTAAATACTATATAAGTGTGAGCTGTTGTTATTATTTTCATTATTATTATTATTTAAGATTTCCATACAATGATGCAAACCTATGGCAGTGTAGAGCTTGCGAGCTCAATTTAATTAAGTGAAACAAAATCTTCATGACATATTTTCCTTCTGCAGGGTTTCCAAATGTAACAATGGCTCCTGATTCCTCTCAGGGTTCCATCGTGGTAAATCAAGACCCTATCACCCAGTCCATCCATAATGAATGTGTCATTGAGCCTCAGGTAATGCACTGTACTCATAGCTGTAATGTTCATGCTGAAATGAAGTTTAAGTTGATGTAGGCATTGTGATAAACATTTTAAAAGCTTAAATATCAAAAAATGCTAGTTGTGGTTGCTAGATTTGCTCTTACTCAAGTGTATTGTACTTTCGTTGTGTAATGTTTGTTCTAAACAAAATAGGACTGGATAGTAATAGCTAATATTTATTGAGCGCTTACCTATGAGGTAGGTACTGTTATTATCTCCATTTAGCAGATGAAGAAACTGAGGCTCAAAAAAATTAAGTGACTCTTCCAAGATTACATAATTTGCTTCAGAGATGGGATTCGAATCTACGTCATGTGTCTTCACAAGACTGCCCCATCTGTAGTTATGAAAACAGCAGGGAGTCTTTCCACTTGAAGTCAGGTGGATCTGTGCTTATATTCCACTATGTACTTGCTGTTTGATCTTGAGTTGCTTTCTTAAGATATCTGAGTTGGCTCAGTGTTTTTAGTTAAATGGGAATAGAATATACTTGATGTGGTTGTTGCACAGATCAGGTGAAATAGGTTATGTGAAGTGTTTAGCATAAAACCAGGTACATAGTTCTTCTTTAAATGTTAGTTCCTTTTAATGCATTAGTATGTAAAAAAATAGTTGCCCAGGAAACTTGGAATTTATTGACTAGTTACATGGGAAATTAAATTACAGTAGTAAAACATTAATTAGCTATATTTTGACCTAATTGGAACTCTTAATTAATCAAAATGTTTAGAATTTTGGATATGGAATTTATTGACTAGTTACATGGGAAATTAAATTACAGTAGTAAAACATTAATTAGCTATGTTTTGACCTAATTGGAACTCTTTTAATTAATCAAAATGTTTAGAATTTTGGATATAAACATTTTTTAAAAGCCCATAAAGTATTTAATATTAAAATAAAGCAATTTCTTATAAATGACTCATATTTTAAATAGCCAAATCCATTGCCTATATCCCTAGGCATAATCATTTATGTTTTGGCACATATTGAAAGGCTAGCTTTCAGATATTCAGAAATTTAATCATCCTAGAATATCTTATTGCTGTAGTATGTTCATTGGAAGATTTTACATTTATTTAAATAAATTTTATAGTATAGTGCCCTATTTATTTGGCAGTCATCATTTACGCACTTTCAGTCATTTGGAGCCTGGTAACATATCTTTTAAAAAAGTGTACAGTGTATCCCAGCAGCATGGAATAAAGCAGTCAGATTTTATTCTGTTGAAGAGAAGAATCCATTTTCACACACGAGTCTATTGAGTTAATAGGAGAATTTCAAATTAATGTTAATGATATAACTATTTTGCCTAGCTGGTTTAAGTTCTTTCTCAGTTTACAGCTGATATTAAAAATAGTGAGATGAATTTTTCAAAGTAAACCAGAGATAGCAGAGATAAATGACAATGAGGGAGGAGAGAGAAGACACCTTAAGAGATTAGCAGAGTACCACTATACATCAGAAAAGAAATTGGTATTGTTATAGAGAGCTTCAAGTAAATAAGAAAAGATGAAACTGTATGACTTAAGTTCTCTGGGCCCTAGTTTCTTCATCTGTAATAGGAATGAGTGAGACTAAATTTATTCACTTGTTCATCATGTAATATTTCAGGCCCTGCACTAGATGCTGGGATACATGGATGAATAAGGCATGTCTCTATTATTGGGTTGGAGAAGTTGCAAGAGCTGAGGTTAGAGAGACAGGTAGGAACTAGGTCATGAATGGCTAAGGAGCCATAAGGAAAGACTAGGGCCAGAAAAGGATTTTAAGAAGAGTAGAGTTATAATGATTATAATGAGATTGACTGTACTGGATTGGGGAAGGACAAGACTGGAGAGAGAATCTGGTTAGAAGACTTAGGTTGGAATCTTATTTAGAATCTTAGTTGGAAACTTAATGGTGGGGGCCTGACCCAAAGCAGTGCAAGTAGGGAAGGAAGAAGAGGAGAACAAAGATAGATTTGAGAAAGGTTAAAAGGAAGTAGAGTTGCCAGGATTGGGTGGCTAATTGGATGTATGGGTGAGAAAGAAGGATAACTCTTAGTTTACTTGCTTGAGCATCTGAATAGATGGTGACTCTGTTCATGGTCTTAAGTAACATTGGCAGGGACAAGGTTTCTGGAAGAATGGTGACAGAGGCTTAGGAAGATGTTCAGTTTTAGACAAGTTGAGTACGGATATCTTTTAGGCAGTTGAATATAAATGTCTAGGGCTCAAGAAAGACCTGGGTGGAGATAGAGATTTGGGAATTAACAGCATTTGACTTGTAACTGCAACTTTGGAATTAGATAAAATCATTCAGAAAGTGGATAAGATGAGGGGAGAAAAGGTCCAAAGGGAGAAACTTGACTCACATCAGATAAAAGGGTAGGGTAGAAAAAGAAGAACCATTAAAAGAGATTGGAAAGGAACAGCCAGAAGAATAGAAAAATTCCAGGAAATCCATGGAATTGTGGAAGTTAAAGGAAGACTGTATCAAGAAGATTTTGAAGGAAAGCAATGACTGATCATTAAGGTCTAATGAATCAGAGATGTAAGGGAAGGCAAAGACAGAAATTTCCATTTGATTTAGAAATAGTGTGTTGATGTTGACCTTGTAGAGAGCAATTTGAGTGGCATGGTAGGGCAGAAGCAAAGTTGCAGGGCACAGATGGTGAATGAGAAGTGGAGAACAACTCTTTCAAGAAGTTTGATGAAAGAGAATAGATGGGAGCTCGAGGTGGGTATATGGTCGGGATAACTTGGGAGGGGCTTGTTCACATTTAAATGCTGAAGAGCTGAAGTCAGTACTCTC